GCTCTCCTGGAGGTACTCTAAAAGCCTTTGCAGAAGGTTTCTGGGGAGAGCAGCCTTATTCCCTCCTCCATGGTAGGACACTTTACCACGCCATGCTAGTAGCAAGTAATCTGGTATCATTGCATGACAAAGCCTGGCAGCGTATGGTTCTGGTGTTTGCTGGCATTCAAGCAACATCTGTTCTTTATCTCTCTGTGTTATCCTCAGGAGAGTGATATCGTTCATGGTAACCTGGGTGAAATAGGGGAATTTAATTAAGGGGATATTCAGAGGTGGCCGTGCCTACTTGGCTGTTTGCCTGCACCTGAAAAGAAATCCTCCCTGCAGTTAGCCACATGGTGGGGGGTGGGGGGCATTGGCGCTGAGCTGTTCGCATTTGGCTAGCAGGGATCTTCCCTGTTATCAGCCAGGCGGTGCGGGGAGGGGAAAAGCGATCATCCCAGAGAATTGGATTGGGGGAAGGGGTTAGTATGGTTTCTGCTGCTGCACATTAACAAGAAAACTGCAGCACTAAATGGCCAACTCAACGGGCTTTGCTTGGTATGAGAAAGGAGGGGGCTGCTGTTATGAAGGTTGCAGAAGCCGAAAGACTATGGCTTACCATGGCCGCCTGCAAACTGAATTCTGTTGCCCGGCCCTGCTTGTGTGATCTCTAACACCAAAGCCACAGGCACTCAATATAAGATGCAAAATGCGACCTTGTACCAAAATCACATGTGCTATGTAATGTGAATAGCGTTGTTCACCGTGAAAGAGTATAGCCATTGTTCTGTAAAATGTATCTTTTTAAATACTTCACTCCCTTTTTTTCCTCCAGCAGCTGCAAATGTTTCAAGCCTCCCTTCTCCATCCCAAAGGCTATATCAGATAAGGCGGCGAAAAAAACGCACGCGTGATGACATGTTCTCTGAGCTCATGCAGTCGTCCGGCACTGACAGAGCTGTGTGGAGGGACACAATAGCAGAGTACAGGACGGTGGCTGATGAACGTGAGGAGAGGTGGCGGCAGGAAGATCAGAGGAGGCATGAGGAAACGCTGGGGCTACTGCAGGATCAAATGGACATGCTCCGGCATCTGGTGGAGGTTCATGAATGGCAGCAGGATCACAGACTGCCGCTGCAGCCCATGTTTAACCGCCTTCCCTCCTCCCCAAGTTCCATAGACTCCTCACCCAGATGCCCAAGAACGCGGAAGGGGAGGCTACGAGCACCCAATCACTCCACCCCAGTGGACAGCCCAAGCAACAGAAGGCTGGCATTCAAGAAGTTTTAAAGTGGCCTTTTCCTTCCCTCCTACCCTCCTCCCACACCCCACCCGGACTATCTTGTGACTTATCTCACTATTTTTATAATCACTTAATAAAGAATACATGTTTTTTAAATGACAGTGACTTTATTTCCTTTGCAAGCAAGCTGTGATCGAAGGTGGGAGGGCAGGTGGCATACAGGGAATTTAGAGGCAACCAAGAGGGAGGGTTTTCATCAAGGAGAAACAAACAGAAGTGTCACACAGTACCCTGGCCAGTCATGAAACTGGTTTTCAAAGCTTCTCTGATGCTCAGTGCTTCCTGCTGTGCTCTTCTAACCACCCTGGTGTCTGGCTGCGCGTATTCAGCAGCCAGGCAATTTGTATCAACCTCCCACCCCACCATAAACATCTCCCCCTTACTCTCACAGAGATTGTGGAGCACACAGCAAGCAGCAATAACCATGGGAATATTGGTTTCGCTGAGGTCTGAGCGAGTCAGCAAACTGCACCAGCAACCCTTTAAACATCCAAATGCACATTCTACCACCATTCTGCACTTGCTCAGCCGATAGTTGAACAGCTCCTGACTACTGTCCAGGGTGCCTGTGTACGGCTTCATGAGCCAGGGCATTAAGGGGTAGGCTGGGTCCCCAAGGATAACTATAGGCATTTCAACATCCCCAACAGTTATTTTCTGGTCTGGGAAGTAGATCCCTTCCTGCAGCCATTTAAACAGACTAGAGTTCCTGAAGATGTGAGTGTCATGAACCTTTCCTGGCCATCCCACGTTGATGTTCCTGAAACTTCCCTTGTGATCCACCAGTGCTTGCAGCACCATTGAAAAGTACCCCTTGCGGTTTATGTACTGGCTGCCCTGGTGGTCCGGTCCCAAGATAGGGATATGCATTCCGTCTATAGCCCCACAGTTAGGGAATCCAATTGCAACAAAGCCATCTAGTATGACCTGCACATTTCCCAGAGTCACTACCTTTGATAGCAGCAGCTCAATGATTGCGTTGGCTACTTGCATCACAGCAACCCCCACAGTAGATTTGCCCACTCCAAATTGATTACTGACTGACCAGTAGCTGTCTGGCGTTGCAAGCTTCCACAGGGCTATTGCCACTCACTTGTGAACTGTGAGGGCTGCTCTCATCTTGGTATTCTTGCGCTTCAGGGCAGGGGAAAGCAAGTCACAAAGTTCCATGAAAGTGCCCTTACGCATGCGAAAGTTTCGCAGCCACTGGGAATCATCCCAGACCTGCAACACTATGCGGTCCCACCACTCTGTGCTTGTTTCCTGGGCCCAGAATCGGCATTCCACTGCATGAGTCTGCCCCATTAACATTGTGATATCCAAATTGGGGGGGAATGCGGTTTTAGAGAAAAGTGTGTTCATGTCCTCATCACCGTGATTCCGTCGCCTCCTTGCCTGGTTTTTCAGGTGCTGGTTCTCCATAAACTGCACGATAATGCGTGAGGTGTTTACAATGGTCATAACTGCTGTGGTGAGCTGAACGGACTCCATGCTTGCTGTGCTATGGCGTCTGCTCCTGCTCGGGCAATCCAGGGAAAAGAGCGCGAAACGATGGTTTGCCGTTGCTCTGACTGGGTTTAGCAGGCCGTTGATTTCACGGAGGGAGGGAGTAGAAAATGAATACAAAACAAATCTGGTCTATTTCTTGTTTTGATCCACTTCATCTATCTTTATACATGTTGCTGGCAGCAGACTGTGCAGTACAACTGCTAGCCATCGTCATCTCCTGGGTGCTCGGCAGAAGACAGTGCAGTATGACTGCTGGCCATCGTCTTCTCCTGGCTGCTGATTAAAAGACAGTGCACTGCCGGTAGGACTGAATCGCCATGAGACGAAACTTAAAAGGGAAATGACCTGGCTGAGTCACTCCCATGTTTGCCCAGGTGCCCCTGACCTCATCGAGTTTGGTTAAAAAAGCACCCAGGACTATGTCGATGACAGATACCAGTCATACTGCCTGGTCTGCTGCCAAAAGACAATAAACTGTTGCTGTGTAGCAATGCAGTACCACGTCTGCCAGCACCCAGGAGACATATGGTGACGGTTAGCTGAGCGGGCTCCATGCTTGCTGTGGTATGGCATCTGCACAGGTAACTCAAGAAAAAAGGCGCAAAACGATTGTGCGCCCTTGCTTTCATGGATGGAGGGAGGGAAGGGGGACCTGACGATATGTACCCAGAACCACCCGTGACAATGTTTTAGCCCCATCAGGCACTGAGATTTCTACCCAGAATTCAAATGGGCAGCGGAGACTGCAGAAACTGTGGGATAGCTACCCACAGTGCAATGCTCCGGAAGTCGACGGTTGCCTCGGTACTGTGGACACACTCCGCCGACTACATGCACTTAGAGCATTTGCGTGGGGACACACACAATCGACTGTATAAAAATGCTTTCTACAAAACTGACTTCTATAAATTCGACCTCATTTCGTAGTGTAGACAAGGCCTCACTGTCTGTTCGCACAGCACCTAGCACAATGGGGCCCCAGTCTTGTTTCGAGGCTGTAGGCACTATAGTAATAGAAATAATAACAATAAATGATTATTGCTGAAGTAAGGGACAAAATGCATATTGTGTTGACTAGAGATGAGACATCCTTTAACATAAGAGAAGAGTGGTAGCCCTATTTGGGCCCGGTGTGGATTTGAATAACTGACGTAGCCTCTCTGCCTATATTTCCCTTCTGAAAAATGAGTGTAATAGAACTTATCTACCTTATAGAAGGATCTGTCAGAGTTTGTACAGCCCTTGGAAAATCTGAAGTGGCACATGCTGTCTTAGCTCTGAATAAAGGGGATGTTCTAACCTGGCCAGGCATTCTCATTTTATTGTACGTATTGTCTGCATACCATCTGCAATTGTTCTCTGCTTAGTATTTTTAGTATGTAACATACATTTTCACATGAAAATTCAATAAAATATGCATTATGTATGAAAGCTGATGTAGTAAATGAAGAATGGACAGAATCCAGTCCCTGTTGTGTGAACCTCAGAGGCCCCAAATCTTCACAGTTTTAGTCTAGCCTGGCGTAAGTGTCTCTTCCTAATATGCTCCATGTCAGATTTTAGAAGAGACAAGATCCTTTAATTTAAACCGTACTCAGCTTTACTGGGGATCTTTTCAGATGTACTTTCTCTGCCCTCTGCTGACAGAACTGAATAATGACATGTACGATCTCTGTGAGTTTTCCAAGACAAGAAACGGTGAGAGAAATGTTCTCTCTCTCTCTGTTGTAGGGCTGGAGCTTTGTTATTTGTTTGTTCTGTTATTGTCCCTGTTGGCTCCTTTTTAGAATGTAAATTCATTGGAGCCAGAGTTGTGTTTGTTTATATGATGCTTTCTATCAATTGAATGTATACTTTCAGGGTTATGTAAATTAGGCCCAAATCAAGATCTGCTACACAAAGAGCAAATAAACTGGGTTTGGACAAGAGATCACCATGGGAGGAAACAGAATTATCCCCTCCCCTATCCACTACTGTGGTCCATTGGAATAGCACAAGTTGTTGCCACTGTGAGGAATTTTGTAGTAAAGGTCCCACTGGGCACACTGTGTGCCCACCCTCAAATGCCATGACCTTGCCATGGAGAAACTCACCACAGCGCACCATTCCAGGGTGCATTGGTCAGTAGTCTCCAAGGTAGCTCCTCCACAGCCTGCAGCTCCAGCAGTTTCCTGCACTTAATTATCTCTTTCTTCCTTTCTCCCAGGATGTTCCTGACTACCAAAATGTCCAAGAGCTCCCTTACCTGGATATGGTGATTGCAGAGACATTGCGCATGTACCCACCTGCATTCAGGTATACCTTTTCCCTCTAGCGCCTAGAGAGTACATCATTAGATAAATACAGTGGCAATCTGTTTGGAAGCCCCATGCTCTTGGCCTCCATGTAGCTATCAGTACTGCTCGTGCACTTGAGAGATACAGTGGGGCCAAATGAATGAAGAAGACTGGCTAAGGCAGCTCTGCTTAATGCACCCTTTTCAAAGCCAGCTGGTCAGGAGTCTCTTTTCACTGTTCTTCGGGTCCCCCAAGCCCAGGGGAAGCAGTATCTTTGAAGCAGACTAGCCTTAGGAAGTCAGATGGTTCTTCTTTGCTCCACTTCAGAGATCAGAGTATAGAATTTACGTAGCCTACTGGCTGAGTAGGCCAGTCACCCCATTAAACCCCTGATCTTCTGAAGTTTGTGCATGTCCCTTGCTGTATTCAAAACCATGAATTGTACTATGTGCTATATATAGCTCATTCTGTAGTATAACATTCTGCCCTAATACTGTACTATACCATTATAGCTAACTCTAGTGCCTCCATCCAGTGGTTATTCGAAATTTTCCTTAACTGATATTAAAATAATTTCCCAGGGAGCTTTGAAGTGTTTATTTCAAAAAAGTGGAGGGGAAATTAGCAAACCATGTAAGATCACAAAACTGTAACAGAACACAAATCTCAGGTCTCGGGGTGGGATTTTCAAAAGCAAACCAGCATTAACCTAACTCTGTTTCTATTAAAGTCAATGGTAGAGCTCCCCTTGATTTCAGTAGGAGTAGAGTTAGGCCAATGCTGAGCACTTTGGAAAATCCCACTCTATGGTAACAAGTACCTTAAAATAAAATAGCTGAAAATTAACCCCTCTTTTACTTACCCCCAAGACCTGAGGGCAGGATCTTCCAAGATTTTCTGTGGAGTTGCACAGGGTTATAAGGGTTAATTATGCTTGCTCATAAACGACAACATTTTACTCTGAAATCCATGGTATATAAATGGAAGTTCCTGTGCCTGTTAAGCATCAGGGACATTTGAATTTCAACTCTGTCTGAAACACTGGGAAACAATCAATGTTTGTCAGATGGGAAACAGAATTAGAAGAGAAGGAAGTTATTTTGAAGCTTCCATTGATGTCATTTGTGGTTGTTCCTGATCTCTATCTAAGGCCCAGTGCATTGCAAAGATGCCAGATACATAAGACAAGAATAGTGCTGTATTCCAGAATACAAAGAAATAGTGACAGGTTTCAGAGTAGCAGCCATGTTAGTCTGTATCCGCAAAAAGGAAAGGAGGACTTGTGGCACCTTAGCGACTAACAAATGTATTTGAACGTAAGCTTTCGTGAGCTACAGCTCACTTCTGAATCCATCCGATGAAGTGAGCTGCAGCTCACGAAAGCTTATGCTCAAATAAATTTGTTAGTCTCTAAGGTGCCATAAGTCCTCCTTTCCTTTTTAAAGAAATAGTGAAAATTCAATAGCAAACAAAATAATTTTACTACCATGAGTGAGAGATATTTAAAAACAATCTGAATAAATAGAGAACTTCACTCTACAGAGCTGGTGGTCCAGTACCTTTCACCAACATCCTATTCACTTTTCAGCAAAAGGGAGGACTTGTCAATATTTTTCTCCAGGCTTTGGTTCATAGTTATCTATTTTTATTTAATTTTGTGTGAGTGAGAACATTATGCTGTGAATAGTGCCAAAGTGGCAGTCCTAGAGACTGAAATCTTCTATTTATTCACTAAATAGGTACAGGGCAGGCACCAGTAATCATACATAGTACCCCAGTCATGAGGTCACTGCTGATCTGGAGGAAGCACTTTTTAGGGATGAGATAACAGTTTGGCCTCCAGGGTCCATGCAGTCTTTGGTTTCTGCTGAGACTGTTCATATATTATTATTTGTATTACTGTACCACTTACAGGCCCCAATCAAGATCAGGGCCCTATTTTGCTTGAAACCATTCACACATATAGTAAGAAAGAGTCTTTAATTTGAAAAGCCTACACACTAAGTGGACAAAACAGACGAAGGATGAGAGAAAAGAAGTATTATCCCCATTTTACAGTTGGGAAATTGAGGCACTGAAAGATGAAGGATAAATTTTTCAAAAGCACCTAAGTCTCATTTTCACACATGATTTAGGCACCTAGGTGCTTTTGAATTTTTTACCCTTCATCTTTTATTGCTTGAAATTCAATTGGATTTAGGCATCTAAGTCACTTAGGGTAAAAATTTCTAAAGCACCTAAGTGTCTTGTGCAAGGTCATGCAAGAAGTTTGTAACAAAACCGGGAATTAAACCCAGATCTCTAGTGCTAGGCTAGCGCTTTAACTAAAAGACCATCCTTTCTCTCTAAGAAGGGAGCCAGTTCTGGTAGCAGTTTCTGTGATTTTCAGTGGCTAATGAGAGGAGACCATCAAACTAATTTAACATGTAGGATACCAAACAGCCATCAGGAGATAACAATGCACAATAGGAGCTGGGGCCTCTAGTTGCTATGGTAATAGAAACATGAAATTACTCATAAAAACCTCCCTTAAAAGAACATTATGAAGGGTTGCAAAGTCAAGCTCTCAGAAGTTAGGAAATGCCAGATTAAAGCTAACCTTTAATCTGGCCCCCTTACGTGTATGCATTATGATAGTCTCTACTGACATGACCACATGGCTATTTTTTCCATAGGACCCCGCCTCATTTGGTGCACAGGATGGACGGTGCTCACTTAGTGAGCAGCTATTCAATCTTTTCTTTCATCCTCATTGTTCAGTGTGTGGCCCCAGGTCTCATTTACTGCACACTATTCAAACTGTGCTCTGAAAACAGAATTATTAATTCCCTCGTGGGTTTTTCTGTGAGCTCATCACTACAGAGCTGAGAGAGTCACAGACATTAATTAATTTATTTTCGCACACCCCTGTGAGGTGAGGGAGTGGTACTGTCTCCATTTTCCAGATGGGGAGCTGAAACATAAATGGATTAAGCTCAAAAGTGTCCATTAATTTGGGATGCCTGAGTGAAAGGGCCTAGCACGTGATTTTTCAGCATGCTTACAATTACACAGCACTTTGTGTCCAAGCCCAGCTCCTATTGACTGCCGTCACAGCTGAGCGCTCAGCACTTCTGGACATCAGACCCCAGGGTATCAGGTTGGGGACCCAGAAAATAAGGAACACAGCAATTAGTGACCAACTCTGAAAAGTTTGGTATACGGGACTTGTCCGGAATCAGGAAGGAACTCTGTGGCAGAGGCAGGGAGAGAAGCCAGTTCTCCAGAGCATCATTCAACTGCCTTACCCATAAGATCATCCTTTCTCTTCCTGCAATCCTTTGTCTCATTCACTACACATCTTCTAGCTACTGCAACAAATGAAGGAGGCATCCTACAGAGAACAGCCTCCTTCACACAACCCCAATTCATTTCCAGAGAAGGTCCATCCTGTGCAGTGAATGAGGGCGAGGGACCTGTGACAAAAGTACTATGGCGTCATTAATGAAAGGCTGTATCAGGGGCGCTGGAACAATTTGTACAGTGGGGGTGCTAAGAGCCATTGAACCAAACTGTAAACCCTGAATAGGATGGAAACCACTTGAAGTCAGGGGGTGCAGCAGCACTCTCCACACCCCTAGTCCCAGCCCCTATAGGCTATATCATAATTCATATGCATAAGGAGGCAGAATTAAGGTTGCACAGGCACCTTAATGCTGGATTTCCTGACTTCTGATTTTGCACCATTAATTTTTTCTGTGAGTAATTTCCTATGTTTATAAAAAAGCAAACTGAAAAATAAAACCTAGACATTCCATAATGTAGCATCATACTGATACCCACATGGGCCATCAGCATTGCTGGAACCTTTGGATCCCCTGCTAGGGTTGCCAACTGTCTAATCACACAAACCCAAACACCCTTACCCCCCTGCCCCACCCCTTCTCTGAGGCCCCACCCCACTCATTCTATCCCCCCTCCCTCTGTTGCTCACCTTCCCCCACCCCCTCACTTTCACCGGGCTAGGGCAGGGGCTTGGGGTGCGGGAGGGGGTGCAGGCTCTGGGATGGGGCCAAGGGGTTCGGAGTGTGGGAGGGGGCTCTGGCCTAAGCCTGGGGCAGGGGGTTGGGGTGCAGGAGAGGGTGCGGGGTGCAGGCTCCAGCTGGGAGGCGCTTACCTGGGATGGCTCGTGGTCAGCGGCGCAGCAGGGCTAAGGGTGGCTGCCTGCCCTGGCCCTGCACTGCTCCCAGAAGTGGCTGACAAGTCCCTGGGGCCCCTGGGAGCTGTGAAGTTGGTGGTCAGGGTGCACAGAGGCCCCTGCCCCCACTGGGAGCAGCGTGGGGCTAGGGTAGGCAGGGAACCTGCCTTAGCCCTGCTGCGCCACTGGACTTTTAGCACCTAAAATCTCCTGGTTTGGCTTCAGTAGCCTCTGGGAGATAGGGCCTGATTCCAGGAGACTCCTGGCAAAACCGGGAGGGTTGGCAACCCTATCCGCTGCTCAGACCTCTGCCTCCTGAGCTGAGTAAATGGTTGATAGCAGTAGTAGGTTGCCATTCTGTCTGTGGATCAGAGTGAGACACTTTGCCTGTTGGTTTCATAGATTTTTGCTGACAACAGAGAAATGGTGAGGCTCAGAATGGGAATCTTCGGCTCCATCCCAAGCTCTGGAGGGCAGTGTGTTCTCGTGGGGACAGACTATTCTGCCCATTTCCCCCAAAACTTGATCCCTTCTGCCCTGTTCCCTCCCCAGTCCTCTCTCTTCCCCATTCCTGACTCCTCATCCCAATTCCATTCTCCTTACCTAGCCAGTTCAGGTTTCTTATCCAAATCCCACTCTCCTTGCCCGACCAATCATAGTTTTCCCCTGGAGAGTCCCGATCCCACTCGCCCACCACCCCACCCTTCCAGTCTCCTTGCCCAGTCATTCCCACTTCCCCCCATGCCTTCCCATCTCCTAGTCCCCAGTCTTCTTGCCCAGCCAGTACCAGTTCACTACCTCCTCATCTGCTCGGTCTCTGACCCCCCCCTTGGCCTCCAATTCCTACCCTCTCCCTTCAACCACATTTGCCATCCCCACTGGTTCTCAGTCTGTGTTCTCAGGATCCTTGTCCAGTCCCATTGTCCCATCACCAGCTCCTTATCCCAGTCTCTTTCCCCCACATCTTGGCTCCTCATCAGATCTGTCCCCTTCAACCCACTGATTCCCAGTCTCCTTGCACAGCCAGTCCCAAGCTCTGTCCCTAAATCTTCATTTGATCTGTCTCCCCCATTTTGCTGCCAGTACCAGTCTGCTTTCCCAGCCAGTTCCCAGTCCCTATCTCTCTACCCCTAGTTCAAGTTTCCATCGCCCTCTTTCCTGTCCACCAACCTCCAGTACCAGTCATCCCCACCCCTCCAGGCTCCTTGTCTCAATTTGCTCCCCTCACCTTTGCATCCCTTCCCCTGGTCTAGTTTTTATCCCCTCTGCTTTCAAATCAGGATGCTTCCTCCCCCTCATTGCCTGAGTACAACAGGGGGGCATTGAAAGCACCAGAGAGACGTGCTCCCTGTTCTCAATTACAGTGTCTGGAGCTAGCCTGCAGCAGCGCAGAGCTACAATTGCAGAAAAAGTCCTGCTCAGGCCTGGGCTGTAGCATGCCCAGTGCAGACAATCTTTGGAGATCTTTAGCTATTAAACTCTAGCAAGTCTCTACTGAGCATATGCAAACTGCAATTTTTCAGAGGCTTATAACTTGGCCAAATTTTCACAAAGACAGCAACAGTACATCCCTGATACAAAGGACAACCTCTCCCAAATGTCAGTCCCTGCTCAAGAGCATGGAGATGCTAGCACTTCCCAAAGAAAATGTCTCCAGAATTTTTTAATACAGGCAAATCGATACATTTTCCCCTTAGCCTCGTTCTCAGAAACAACGGAACTATTTTGGCTGAAATTTTCAAACATTTCAGCTTGAGGCAGATGCCTGGCATGGGAAATCAGAGTCCAAATGGAAGGTTTGACAAAGTTATAAGCAAAGGAAAACGGTCTAATAATGGGACGTGTCAGGCAACCTTAATAATAGCGCTACCAGAGCCTCATCTAGCAGCAACAGTTACCAATTTGGGATGAATTCTAACTCCTAGTCTCGTGCTGCAAGGATCCATATTTCGTTTGCGGTTCCCCGAAAAGTCCATGCTCTCTATTTTTATGGTGAAGATGCCCTTTGTGCGGCAAGCAACTGCTGTTCTGCTTATCTACTAGTGATCACCATCTTGCTTCCCTAATCATTGTAAAACCAACACAGATGACTTATTCAATGGCTGCTTTCAACACCCTGCCTTTGTACTTTTATACTTACTCATCTGGGGTCGGTGACATTTAACTGTTGCAGGTTCACTCGGGAGACATCAAAGGACTGCGTAGTGATGGGACAGCATATTCCAGCTGGCGCCATAATAGAAATTGCAGTTGGACCTCTACATTATAACCCTGAGCTCTGGCCAGAACCTGAGAAATTCGTCCCTGAGAGGTATGTGGGATACTGCTCAACATCTCTTGTACCATTGTCCTTATTTAGACCATTTAGAACAAAGTCCTGCCTTAACTGCTGTTTCCTGTGTGGCTAATAAAAAAAGAGTGCTCTGTGTGTAAGCAATTTGTTCCCAGGATGCCAATCCCATGCACTAGAAATGCATTCAGTGTATGGATATTCAAATGAATACACCAGGCAACCCCCTTTGCTGCATAATTCCTGAACCCAAAAGAGCCCCAGCAATCAGCTGTTAACGTGGAGCAGGTAGACACCGTATCCAGCATCACCTCCACCAAAGTAGTTGGCTACTGGTAGATGAGTCTTAAATAGGAACCAATGCCATGTCTGTGGTTGCCTACCTGGCATGGGTATAACCTGTCCCTGGTCAAATGCTGCTACTTTGGCCACTCCTGGATATAGAAATTCGGAATAAAAATAGGCTACCCATTGTGTTCATTTGCATATAATTACCCAGAATTCTCCTCCAGCGCATGGCTGTTTCAGAGTGGCCTTTCTGTCTGAGATCCTGGAACAGTCTGGGTGTGCTGCTAGGGGCTTACTCCTGTACCTGAAGCCAGTGGGAGTTTTGTCTTCAGTGGGAGCAGGATAGGGTCCAAGTTCTTCATTCTGCTTGCAGGACAGACTTTCATGTAAAGCTTTTCTCACTTTCAAACTGGGTCTTAACGGAGTTCTGTTTGTGTAACAACTGCATGGAGAAGAGACTATCCTGCAGCTGCAGAGGTTAGCAGACAAAAAGTGTTCTTGGAATTATTGCAGATCCAATACTATGTAGAAGCACAGGTTTGCTTAGTGGACATGGCTGATAAGTCCTGCATCTCAAGTTGCCACCTTGTGAAAGTTCTAGTACAAAATGCTAGCCTCTCAAACACACTGGGTGTGATGCAGACTTTCTAAGAATAGCTCTGAAGGACTAATGTAACTACACATGTAAGTGGGTTTGTATAGAGGAATCCTCTTGGAACAGTCCATCCTGTATACTAGTTGTCTGTTTTCTCTGTCTTAGCCCATAAAGAGGGGCAGCACCAGGGTCAGAACATAAGAATGGCCATACTGGGTCACACCAAAGGTCCATCCAGCCCAGTATCCTGTCTTCCGACAGTGGCCAATGCCAGGTGTTCCAGATGGAATGAACAGAACAGGTGATCATCAAGTGATCCATCCCTTGTCACCCATTCCCAGCTTCTGGCAAAAAGAGGCTAGGGACACCATCCCATGCCTTTGCTGACTAATAGCCATTGATGGACCTATCTTCCATGAATTTATTTAGTTCTTTTTTGAACCCTGTTATAGTTTTGGCCTTCACAGCATCCTCTGGCAAAGAGTTCCACAGGTTGACTGTGGATTGTGTGAAGAAATACTTCCTTTTGTTTTAAACCTGCTGCCCATTAAACCTCTTTTTAGGAGAAAGGAGCATTTGTATTGTATTCTCAGGTTCAGATGAGAAGTCTGGCAATGATCTTTCTAGTGACAGATGTCATGTCTGGGTCTTCTGTTGACCACTGGACCACATCATCTACTCCAGCTTCTGGAAGTGTTCAGTAAGCGGTGCTTTAAAGGAAAGTGTTTGGGGGATGGGAACTATAATGCACTTGGCCAGATGTGCAGTGCTGTGCGTGGTGAAGCTGAAGCAAATGTCTTTCTTCACCTCTTCCTGAAGCAGGAGGTACAATTACCCAGACTCACCTTAGCTTGCATAGTTTGCCAGTATTGTTAGCGGTCATAAGATTAGGCATCTTTCTCTTAAAAAAAAAAAAAAAAATCCAACCCCGGTATTTTTCTCTCTGGCCTTTTGTTGGTGAACCATCCTCAGACTGATTATGTTGCATGAAGAAGAATTGGTTATCTGTAAGTTTACTGACCTTTAGTCCCATTGTTCTTGTATTTTGGGACATACCAAAAACGGGGAGACACATTTTTTCACTGCGCATGCCATCATGCTGAATACCTCGACCAAGTCCTGAGGCAGGAGGTGTCTCTCACTATGTGTTTGTACAGTTCTTAAGACAAGGGGGTCCCACTCTCTCTTTGAGGCCTTTAGGTGCTGCCATTAATACAACCAGCACATGATGATTTTGCCTTTCCAGGCTAGGTAATCTCAGTCTTGAAATAGCCTTCAAAAGCTCTCATCATATTTAAGGCCTGCTGTGTTCGTTGCCTGTCTCTGGGCCTTTCCGGCCCCCAGGGGCAGGAGCTGCAACTTTGGCTGGCCCTTGCACACGATGCGCACGTGGAGGGGAGGCTCATTGCCCCCCTCCCAGTACAAGTGCCCTGAAAGGTATGTGGATGGCTCAGCTGGCATTAGGGCAGTTCTGTACTGGCACACCAGCCTTTGGCTCCCTACGGTAAGGGAGAGCCTAGCCCAGTAAGAGCAGATATCTAGTGCAAGGGCACCTCTTGAAATGTTGTTGCTTTTCTAGAATGTTCACAGCTTTTAAGGGCAGAAGGCCCTAGATTTCAGATGGATTGCTGAGGACACTGAGCCCAATCCCTTGTCTGGCTAAAACTCCAAATCCAGACTGGCTGCTTTTCTGGAAGGTTTCCACCACATCCCTTGGTAGTTTGTTCCAAAGGTTACTCTTCCTTGCTGTTAAAAAAATTGTGCCTTTTTTCTAATGTGTATTTCTAATGTTTTTATTAGGTATTTTGAAAGAATTAGCTACCCTGGCCTCTTCTGGATGACTGCCACCTTAGTCCTCACTAGTAATTGAACTGGGCACCTCCAGAATTAAGAGCATGCATGCCTTCAGTTTGAGCTAAAAACCTAAATCCCCTACTTCCTCTATGGATGGAGCACACATAAAACAGTGGGATACATCTGTGCAATAAGAGCCTTCTTCCCCAGCCAATCAGATCCCTGCTTTCATATTCCTGTTTTTCTCATCGTCCATCCTGAAGAGAATCCCAGGCAGGCTCTACCAATTTACATTGCTTTTGCAATGCAGGGGCAGCATTCTTGCTCATTCTAGATCAGAGTTCATTAGTTTGCTCTTGGCATATGCAGGCAGTAATTTTGCCGTTAGTTTATGCATAGGGTCTGGGTTGCTATAACGCCCGAATTAGTGTTCCGTAGTTTCCTCAGATAATGAGTGTTTACTGAGGGCAGTTCATTAAAGACATCCTTTTTAAAATGACAAAGAAAGTCTGTTTGTCCTGCCGGGAGAACTACTCATTGACAAAGGATGTTTTAGTTTAGAGCAGAATTTGCTAACGGTCCCCTTGAGAATTGTTTACTGAGACCAATTTAAATCCAGCTTTCTCAAGATGTGAGCAGAAAAATCACAACAGTATGAAAACCGTTTCTTGAGCTGGTTTCCAATTTGCCCACCTTGCAGGTTCACAGCAGAGGCCAAACTACAGCAGCATCCCTTCACATACCTCCCATTTGGAGCAGGACCTCGCAGCTGCATTGGCATGAGGATGGCTTTGCTGGAGATAAAGATGACCCTGCTGCGGATCTTGCAGAAGTTCAAATTTGAAACCAGTCCCGAGACCCAGGTTTGTATATGTGGAAACTTATGGACGACACCTGTCAACTCTCTTGGGAACTGACAGACTGTTCTATAGGCGGCCGGTGATGTGTCATAGAGCAGTCATGCAAAAAAACTAACAGGCAGATGCGTATAATAAAAGTGGCAGCAGTGCTGAATCACAGTACTTTAATCAAAATATAACTGGATTTGTCATTTAGTAAATAAAACAAACTTCTATAAGCCATAGAGCCTACAGCCCAGATCCTCTGCTGGCGTAAATAGTCTATGTCAATTTACACCAGTGTGTTTATCAGAGTACGTTGGTACTTCTGTGTTTGCACCTACTGTATATTTAGCAGCTCCAGAGCTTACGGCAGTTTATTTTATTTAGATTTGTAAGATACCTGGGCATCCACTGCCTAACCTAAAAAAAAAAATTATTTTTACCATTATACTGCCAACAACTGGCTATAAAATGGACACTTTACAACTTCCATGACGGCTGTATGAGTTAATCTCATAAAGGAAACTGAAAACATCAGTTTGTACTTGTGAAACTTTTACATGCATAGACCGCGCCATACACTGTGTGAAAGAGAGTAAGCGTATAAAATATGTAATTTATTTTCTCTTTTTCAGATTCCTTTGCAGTTGACATCTGTATCCTCATTAGCACCAAAAAACGGAGTCTATGTTAACATAGTACCTCGATAGAGCAAAAACCCCATTCTGAAAGCCTCCAAGGAGGTGATCCATTGTTCAGTGGCTCGCTGATAGAGTGGGGGTAACATTTTCAAAAGTACTTAAGTGACTTGGGAGCCTAAATCTCATTGAAAGTCAATTGGACTTTAAATGGGTGGGCCAAAATCCTGCTGATTTTCAATGAGACTCAGGCTCCTAAGTCACTTTTGAAAATGGGACTTAAGTACTTGGGAAAGTTTTACCCAAGCCCATGACTGTGAATAGTCTCTGAAAAAGCCTCCCACTTTTCAGCCGCCTTAGTGGTCGTAACAGGGCCCACTTCATTTTACTTATCTACATGGGAGTTTGTCCAGGCTCCAATCTTAGCAGTCTGCACTCCTCACCTTCGGTAAATTTTTATAAGATGCTGAACAATCACTTGTTAGCTAACACGTTTTAACAACAGACCTTTAAATCTGAGTCTCAAACTCTGAAAGCCAACATGTGTGGTGGTAACAGCAAGGACTAGGAATCAGGACACCTGGATCCTACTCCAAACCCTGCAGTTGACCGATCTTGAGCAGATAGCCTAACCTCATGGTACCTGTCAAATGAAGATAATGCTTACTCACCTTTTGTAAAGCACTCTGAGACATTTGGATGAAATGTGCTCATATTATCCTCTAACTTTTGTTACAATGGATTTTAAAATAATGGTAAATGTCTGTATAAGCAGGACCAGACCAAAAAATGTTGTAGACTGCTATTAAGTTTTGTCTGTTACCGAATAGTATTTAGAGAACCTTGGAATATACAAGTTTGAAGTGTTCAGGAGAACTCGGGGAATTTTAGGATGACCTGAAGATGGTGGCACAGCAGGAGTTTTCCCAGCATGGCATGACGCTTTTCCTTTCTATGCATTTCAGTTGGCACTATACTTGGGCAGAGGAAATGAAGGAGGCTGCATGCACTAGTGCTTAAAGTCAAGGATTGGGAGCCAGGAAAATCAGTTCCAATAGCTACACTAACTCATTAGGCGACCGTGCAGCAAGTCACTTCACCAACTTGTGCCTCACTCAACCCACATAGGAAAGAATGTGGGTGAATGCTAGGCCCAGCGGCTGCCTGCATGTCTTCACAGTCACAACAGCACTTATTTGATTCTTCAGGACCGTTTGCCCACAGCATCTGCAGTAGCTAAAAGCAAATTTTTCCATGTTTGGAATTTTTCCATATTTGCACACATGGAGCAAACGGTCTCTTCTGCTGCATCCTGGCCCACCCCAGCAGTGGCTCAAACTACAGTTTTGGGGGCCGCATGATACCTAGATAGAGGCAGAGAGTTTACTCCATACCCAACCCTAGGTGGAAAATTAAGAAAAAGGAAGAAAGTTGTCATAGGCCCAAGTTTTTGTGTGTGTCCCTGTTGCAGGCCCCTGGGTCCTATGTGGGCTAGTGGAGTGTCACTGAGCATCCTTCACACTAAGACACTGACCATTACAGCTGCAGCATGTTTAGAATTCCCAGCAGCCTCTACTGCTTCTTAAGCCTCAAGGAACTGTGGCCCAGATCCTCAGAGATATTCCACTGATTTCAATGGAAGTCAACGAGCCTAAACACCTTTGAGGATGTGGGCACTGGTCCCTTCCCAGGCAGACTAGCAGCACCGAGGACATTACGGATCACTAGAGGAAGTTCTATCCACTGAAGAAGGTAGGTCTCAGTTGGAGAGTGGGGTGGTAAGAGGCAGCCTTCCAAGTGTTCGGGGGAGATGTATATTATTTTCTTTAAACATAGGGCCCTACTTTGGTTTCCACTGCGGGCTGAGATCATGAACAAGAAGAAAGGAGGAGGTTGGTGAAGTTTATTCATTTTGCCAAAAATAGGTTATTTCCTCCACTGTGAAATTAAATTTTCCTTACGTTCCAGCCAGCTGAGCACTCATGAGTACTTTAAAAAAGCCCAGTGAGCTTTTGATAAAACTTAACTTCAGACTGCCCTTTAAAAAAGAACATCGGTTGCTAGTTGGGAGGGAGGGAGGGAGAGCCAGCCTGGTGCTCTGTGGGCCTCAGCCAAACCAGTCACACTTCTTTCCTAAAGCTATGCTCCAGGAAACACCAGCACTCGTGCATGGCACACACAAAACCAGCTGCAATATATTTCTCTGCAGCTGTGGTACAAATCATATTGAGTAAAGGCACTCGATTAGAAGACTGCTGCTGCTCCATGATTCCCATCTACAGTTTCTTGCTTGCATGTGGCATGTTGAGAGTGGTGGGATTGGCGCATGCTGCTTTCACCTCTTGCTGGTCATTGTGACCACACTTTTAAAAGTCATGCTCTCATCTTCCTTACCAAGGCTTGTGTTTAGTTCTGTGATGAGATTTTCTTCTCGCTTGAGTTCCAGCATAGTAACTGTGGATTATAGGCCTGAGAGTTAATGCTCCATCCATACTCCAGCCTTGCCATGCTGGAGTTTAAATGACTCAATGTGCCTATGAAATGAGCTGTTGAATTAATGGTCTAATCTAAAAAGGTGCAGCATGCACCGCTATACACAATTTTGCCTCAATTTTTTCAATAGTATATTATTTGTGGTTGTGATTCTAAATTATACCTGTAAACTGGAATAGTATAGGGTAGTCTCATTAAAGGTTTTTCCCATCCATTTGTCTTAAAGAAAAAGTGTTTGTCCTTTCCTTTACTGTGTTCTGGCGATCTCCATCAGAAAGTCAGCTTCCCAGTTCTCTTCCAACAGTGTTCTCCTGCTTCCCCTCCTCCCCCCGACCTGCGGCCTGTAGGTCCTCCCTTTCTTCATTTTAAAACACACACTTTAGAGCCTAAACCCTTTAAGTCTATTTATTGCCATATTTATCCAAGGAATTGGACCTACCACAACATGTCCACTGGAATTTAAAAATTATTGTAAGAAAACAGATCAGCATAACTGATTGGTGCATGGGGTTCTAAGGCATGGAAACAGGCATCACTGAAGGGACTCGAGTAGTCAGAAACTTATAACTGACATGTATATTGCCACTCCAATGCAGGTACGTGGCTTAATTAACAATACAGTGACTGTCTTGCAAGACTTTTCAGCTACTATGTTAATACCAGCTTGCCCATCCCTGAATACAGGGCTGATTGCAAAGGAAGTAAGTGCCAACTGTAGTGACTTGTCCATTTTGAGGTAGCCAGTTTTTCCCCACAGGTGCAGGTTAAGCCAGAATTCTGAATCTGAAAGTTAGCCACCGTTTTGTTCATTCTGTTTGGAGGCAGGCAGTGGCTTTGGACTAGTATGGCAAGCAGAAGGTTAAGAGGAAGAGAGGATGCCTCAGGACAAATGAAGAGTCCTGCACCCCACTGCTTCCTTTTAAATGGTAGTTGCTGGCCTGCCAACCCCTAACTTCGTTATACAACAGCACTTAATGAGCCTCACTCCACCACTGTCCTTGTAGAGTTCTGCATCATAACTGATGAAACAGGGTAGGGAGATGAACTCATCTTTGCCATCAAACTATGCCCTGAGGGTCTGAAAAGGGATAATAAATGACACTGCAAGCTGCCCTTCTGATGTTGCTCCCTCTCCTCACAGACATGAGATACAGGAAACTGTCATTCCCTCAAGGCAGCTTTTCCAATCCCGTCTGCCACTTTTCTGGAAAAGGGGATGAGGGGAAAACAGCAGCCTGCCCCTAAAGCTGAGTTTCCTATCAAGACACACGATAAGAGGAGGAGAAGCAGAGAAACAGCTTCTTGGCTGCCAAAGCCTGCAGGTGCACCCGTTGCTGGGACATAACTGGAATTGGACATGTTGTTGAGCTGATTTGTTAGAAATTTGAAGTAGTTTGGAACTTTTCCTCACGGTGCCACAACAGAGAAGCCCCCCAGCTGCACTGGCTGCTGCTGTGGAAACAGGTAGAACTTCAGGAGGCAGGGGCTTCCCATGCTGCTAGAGCAGGGATGGGCAAACGTTTTGGACGGCGGCCCATGAATGCTCATGAAGTTGGGGTGCGGGTTCTGGCTGGGGATGAGGGGCTTGGGAGGGGGAATCAGGGCTGGAGTGCAGGAGGTGGTCAGGGAGCAGGCTCCGAGCAGCGCTTACCTCAAGCAGCTTCAGGAAGCAGCGGCATGTCCACCGCTCCGGCTCCAACAGGGAGGCGCAGCCAGGCGGCTCTGCGTGCTGCCCTGTCCGCAGGCACCACACCCACAGCTTCCCTTGGCAGTGGTTCCTGGCCAATAGGAGCTGTGGGGGCAGCACTTGGGACAGGAGCAGTGTGTGGAGCCCCCTGGCTGCCCCTACAGGTAGGAGCCAGACTGGGGACATACCACTGCTTCCAGGAGCCGCGTGGAGCCACATCATGCATGGAGCGGGGCAAGACCTCAACCCCGGTCTCCGGTTGAAGCTTGAGGACTAGATTAAAACATCTGATAGGCTGCAGGTTTGTTTTAAAATTACATGAGACTACTTTAGAACAGGTCCTAGTCACTTGCAGACAGATGACAGAAAGCAAAGACTAACAATGAAACATCTTCAGGGCATTCATTTTGCAATCAATGCTAAAAGCTGTCACTTTAAAAGTGTATTTTTATATAACTGTATGGGATAGAGAACCTTGCCAACGTAGTAGTTCACAAAGCACTTTTTAGGAGGGGGAATTACTCTTACTCTGGATTAAATGTGAAATTTTAAGGAAAATTCTGCAGCATAGTAGAAAGTCACTTCACAAAATAAATATTTTATATACATTTTCTGCTTTCTATTCTATGAGTAAAATGGAATTTCCACCTGAACTTTACCATAGATGCTGATTTGTTTAGCATATATTTATTGTTCCCTGGGCCTTAATAATAGCACCTGTATTGGAAGGGTTAGAGGTCAACTCATAAAGCTGAATCTCTCATCCCTTGTTATTGAGGAAAGTTATGCAGCAGGCAACAGGAAACAAGCTAATTTTTTTTAGACAGACATCAAGTTGGATCTCAGAGATGCTTGCTCTCTGCCTGGCTGCAGTTTGCCACCTCTATTCAAGCAGTTCGCAGGATTTCCTCAATTGTTAGTTATCTTTAAAACTGAGCTGACTCCCACAGCAATACTCACTTAAAAATGGAGAAGGCATCTGGAAATCATTCAAGGCACTTTTGAACAAGAGGCCTGACCTATTTACTGTTCATTTTCTATGACATGCACTGATCCAATGGTTAATTAACTACCCCCTAACAGCTGACTAACCTCCAAATTTCCCTGACCTTCCTCCCAAAATAAAGTACTTTAACTTGAGCCACAGAGGTCTCCCGTTACCTCCACTTTCACGATTGCTGATGTCCTCTCCTTAAGGTGGCCATGTGTCCATGCTTCTAGGTCCTGCCTTGCGTGAGAGTTTGACCACCGCCTCTGGAAACCTTTTCTTAAAAGTCCCCACTTCTAATCCAAACATTCACAAAACTCTACACCACACAGACAGAGCTGCCTCCCTCTCATGTATAAACAGACCTGGCCTCCACTCAGCCCTCAGATCAGGCCCTGGCTGCAGGTATCAGACTTGGCAATAACATAAGATAAAATGCTCACGCCTCTCCTGTCACTCCCCACATGATTCTTCGCTTACTGCTAAGATATGGCTGTTATCAAAGCCCTATAAATCAAGGCAGAAGCTGAATATCACTGCAAGCCTGAAATACTAAGTCAACAGGTAGACTCAGTTTCCATAGTACAGACAACAGGTTGGTCATAAAATGCTGAGGTACCCTACTGTGCTGCAGACTGCATTACTGTCAAGCCAGTTTTCCTTTCAACCCACCCTCCATATGCCTTCACAGGACAGGGCTGGTGGCAGAAATCCATGTAACCCAACCTCTCTATTATCCCACTCTAGAACACCACTCACGCATGTTCCAGACACTCAAGAGCTATGGCTATCGCTTGAGACAGTCAACATAAGTTTGCATATAATTTAGGTTTCATACGAGGTACCTTTTTTTAAAAGCCAATAATTTCCAACTGCACTGTAAACAGAGAACACTACAGACTCCCTTAGTTTGTAAGAACTTGAACATGAAAGTTCACTAGAACCCAAAAGTGCAATTCATGCTGCTATTTGCAGTACCCAAGATGAAAAAAGCAACAAAGCCTGTTTTTCCCCGGGGTGGAGGAAGAAGCTTCCTCAGCCTTTGAAAACTTACAATAAAAACTGCTCTGCTTTGCATGAAAGACATTCAGTGTGAATCTTTTGTTGCTACTTACCACAGTAAGAAACAAGGATCCACCTAGGTAGAAACATTAAAGAGGGTTAGAGGATACAAAGAGGCCTTAACCAAACCTTAACCAGTTTTCGGTTCAAAATATTTTAATTTGCATTAAAAAAGAGGAGCCATGCATATTGCCACAGAAGGTAGCATACATACGGCTGGGAAGAAGAAGATTCAATTTCAAACATTAAAAACATCGAGAAATAGGGCTACCGATTGCTTCCAGTTAGACATTTGTTCCTCATAGGCACTTAGAACATATGACTAGCCAATACGTTCACTGTAACTGAAAGACAGCTGCTGTAAGCCCACCATTCCCAGCCATTACAAAGGAGAGTGAGGATCCTGAGTAGTAGTCTCCTCTCTCCAAGCAATGCAAATGTTAAGCTTCAGTCACCAATATCATGATTGTAAATGAGAAATATACAGCTGCTTACGTTTCAAGGTACCAATAAAAGTCATATTATACCCTCCCCTACCAGGACAAACATGTACGGACAGTGAAAGCTTTAGTGGTTCATCCAGAATTGTCACAGCTCTCTAGTTAACGCATTCATTTGTTAGTTGCGGCAGCGTCATTACATAACTAAGTAGCTCAGCTGTTCACAGCAGGGCATTAGGCACTATAGTTTATTTTGTGTACATACGGACAGTCTTATTGACGTTCAAGGATGGGCAACCTTTAAATCAGTTCTTGCTATGCTTCCAGCTTTAGCACTTGCTTCCAATCTTTACCAGAAGATAGGTAGAGAAGTCAGAAGCAATCCAGGCAGTGTAAGTAACTAGTGATAATCAGAGGCATTATTAGGATTTTGAAGTTTCTTCTGCTCTCCCATATTGCAGCAGGCTTTTGGACAGAGCTTTACCCTGCACAGAAATACACCCTGGAAGGGAACGTATTAAAAATCTAGGCTTAACTAACGTGTGAATGAAAAGTTAACAGGTGGAAGGGGAAAGCTTCCCAGAAGCGAGGAAAGCTCAGAAGTGCAGTTCTATTCTGAAATGCAACTACTGTATGTGAAATGGCACATTTACTCAGTCTATCTGTTCCTTGCATCTATAAGAACTAGAAAGCTGATTTCAGTGTCAGAGTTTTGATTGCTTTTGATTCTTGTTAACATACAGGAATGAACAGAGCCAAGATAAATAGCGAACTAGATTCTATCCTTTCTGATACATCAACAGAATTGTTTTCTATATTCCAATTACAGGACCAATCACTTAAACCTGTATAGCCCCCACAGAATATAGTGGGTTTGCACAGATGTCACTGAAGGCAAACGACATGACCTATGGAACCTTCATTACTGGCATTGATGGAGGAGGAGGAGGAGGAAAGAACCTCACTCAATGCTTAGATCCCCAAGTTGAGTTTGCAGGGCTGACAACAAGGAAAAACAGCTTGTAAAAACTCTTA